ACCACCAATACAAAGACCTGACTTGTAGCTATTATCAGAGGCAGAAGCCAAGCTGCAATGCTCATTGTGTAACTGCTATCATACCATGTTACACAAGGCATATGTATAACATTGAGATGTGACTGGATATCAGCTTAGACTTTTAAGATCACTTTTTAGCTTTTTCCATACCCCAGGAAATCATAATCTGATCATTACCATTGTGTGTGTCCTCAATAAAACTACAAGACGTTATACGACTCTGTTATGACCCTTTCAATTACTTTTCCCCAGGGAGAAATAATCAGAAAACTCATATTTGGGAAAGAAAATGTAAAGTTGCACATCACTAAACATGTGCAAACTATGACATCTAACTAGATCATAGCAAAACATCCCTGCGGGAGATGAAGAAATCATGTGGTTTGCTTAAAATTGGAATGGAAAAAGGCCTGGAGCAAGCTCAGGGCACAATCCTGCACAGGCCCTTGTGCGGTGAATAAACTAAATGTGACTGATTACAAGCTTTCTATCACTAATTAAAACCACCCAAGTTCTGAGTTCAAAATCTGTCACATGCAAATTCCGAGGTAAAGCTAACACAAGAGTACCACTTTTTTTCTACCTTTAGGACATCTTTCTTTGCAGAAACTAATTCTGCAAAAATCTAGATACACTATACAGTGAGAATACAAAGCTCTACTCATGCTAGGGTATTAGAGCCAACCATATTCTAGAGCTCAGACCTAGTACTTTTCCCAAAACAGGTCTGAAGAATCCTCCCTATAACTTCAGGAAGGCTGGAGTGAAAAATCTAGGCAGCCAAATAAGATTTGTTCGGAACAAAACCCCTTAGATGGAGGAGTCCAAATAAAACTCAAGGGTCCCATCTTCACTCAATCCAGCCTTTAAGACTGAGAACAGATGAAGCCCCTACTAAAGCAAAACAGCATAGAAGTTTTACACAAAACAGGCATTAGGTACTATCACTGCATTCCTATCTGACTCCCACGGAGATAAGAATTACAGTTGTGCAATCCCCCTTAGCACACACCTTCATAACACCAGGTCAAGCACAACTCCTCAGTTAACTGTACAAATAGGTCCCTAATGTCCACTGTGCTATTACCATCTAGAATGAACATATATTGCATCAACCAAAAGTCGCTATCATATAGGCAGTCCAATATCTACACCATTAAGGTCTGTATTTAAGGACTGCAATTGGCAGACAAAGTCTGCAATTATCATTATCCCATCATCATTTTAATGCATAGACACTATTTTATACTTTCATCTAGGCCCACATATCTGTATAACATTTATAAATATATATATAACTATATATATTCTCATATGAGAATGATACTTGCAATAGCTAAATTATACAAAGGGGGTTTTTCGTAACACAGATTTCAAGTCACAGACCATAAAAACACTGGCATGCATAGGAACAAATGTCTGTGTGGTTAGGTATGACAGCTTAACTACACTCTGGAGTGGAGAGTGGGTGCTACTAGATGCAAGCTTTTTCTTTATTTCAAGAGTGTTGTGGTGTGGGAAGAGAGAACAAGAATTAACGTTGCTACTTCAGACACACATCAATAAAAGGCACGTGGACAATTTGCCAGTTAACAGGATAATAATGTCCTCAGCAGTGTGGACGTGTGAGGGATATGGGCAACACAGGAGGTGGAGGCAATATATGTTTCGATATGCTATAGAGAGAGAGATCCAGGTGAGCTTGAAGAATCTTAAGGGAAATAATGCAGTGATCATTATCATGTGGACATTATAGAAGATGTCAGAGATTTCTTTAGGTCATGAGGACATTCGAGACCACTAAGAGACATAGGCTAGATGTGGGAATTAATTCCCAAAGTAGAAATGGGATTCTGTAGTCTAAGTTTGCTGCTGCAGGAGTAGATTCCCTGGAAGTGCTCACAAAGGGCTTTCCCATTGAGACAAGTGTCACTGTCCCAGGCTTTGAGACAGTCCCTTGGATTTATTCTGGGGATGTACTGCAACTCTGTTGTGCTCAGAGGTCTCCTTTTATCACAAAAGTCCCCATGCCCATGTGCTTTGTGGACAGGTTTGGTAGAGAGACGTGTACTACCAATTGAACTCCGGTCTGCTCTCAAGAGATTCTTTTGGTGTCTTGAATGATACATCTCCATATAACTGATGACTGTACCTGTGGTTTGCACAGAAAGAAATTTTCCTGCAGGGAAGAAAGTGTGCCCAGGATGCTGTTTTTACCTGAAGAGACCTGTGCTTAGGGATCAAGGGATCTCTTGGTATCTGCAGGTGTGTAGGAGGGGAGAGATGGGTTACACAGCCTAAAGGCTTGGGATCCTCTGCTGTAAAATGTGCATGGCCCACTAGAAGGATGCGATCCCTCCCCCTGTGTCCCCTCGCAATGGCTCTGCGAGAGGGAAGGGATTCACATTTGTTCGCTGTTCTCCATTGAAGTCTACGTAGGGGGAAGGGGGAGAGAAGAAGACGTGCAGATCATGCAATGTTATGTATCCTCGGATAACAATAAATCGCTACCGAGCAAAGGAGGCAGCCGCCGTCCGCCTGATCCCGCTCCGGGAGGCACGGCACGGCACACCCCGCTCCCACCCCCTCCTCCGGAGGCGCCGCACTGCCCCACATGTTCCACGACCTTCCGTCACGGGTGACACGGGCAGACGACCCCCCGGCCCCGGGCACGTCGCGCTGCCAGCGCCTAGGCCAGCGGCCGGGGCTCCGCGGAGTCCCGCTACGCCACGGGAGACCGGGCAAAGGAGGAGGTGGGGAAGGGTCGCACGCAGCTAATGGCGCTGGACGGGCAACCAGAAGGGGGGCTGCGAGGGGCGACCCGCCACCCGCCGTGCCGGGGGCTGTCGTACCGGTCCCCGGGCGGGGTCCGCGGCTGCCCGAGCATCCTCTAGCGCCGTCCCCGCCAACGCCTTACCTACGGTGCGGGATCCGATGCAGCCCATCACTCCGGCGGGGCTCCGGGGAGAGGCGGCAGCCTCACCAGCGAGTAGGCGGAGAAGGTGGGGAGCGGTGGAGGTCGGAAAGCAGCCGGTCCCTTCAGCGGGAGATGCCGGGGTGGCCCAGCGGGGACCGGCGCGGGGTCATGGTCAGGTACGGGCGCGGGGTGCCCCCACCGGGGCGAGGCGAGCGGGCGGATAGCCCGCGGGCCAGGCTGTCATCTGCCCCCGCCGCGCCTCCGCGCTTTGTTCCGCGCCCCGCGCGGCTCCCCGACCGCGGCCGCGTCGCCGCCGGTGCCACCGCCGAGCCCCCGCCGCCCGCCCGCCCCCCGCTCCCGGCTCAGCGCTCCCGGCTCCCCGACGGGGGGCGGGCTGAGATTGGGTAAACAGCTCCGGCCCGGCAGCGCCGCGCCGATTGGCTGCCGCCCTCTGCGGCCCGGGGAGGGGAGGCAGCGCCGGCCGGGCCGCCCCTCCTGCCCGCGGGGGGCACGGGGCGCGCCGGCGGCGGGACGAGGCGAGAGACCCCCGGCGGGCGGGCGAGTGGGCAGGACGGGACGGGACAGGTGCGGGCGGCGCGGGATGGGGATGGAACGGGGGGAGTGGTAGTTTGCAGCGGCGCGGGGCCCCTCCCACTGGCCTGGGCAGAGGAGCGGGGAGGGGCGGGCACAGGTGAGCGGCGGGCGGTGCCGCAGGCCAGGAGCCAGGGGGGAGAGTAGAGCAGGCGGGGAACAAGCGGGTAGGGGGCTCGTCTCCGTCCCAGTGAGAAGCAGCAGCAGCGAGGGGCACGGGGGAATAGATGGAGGAATAGAGGGAGAAATGAAAGAAAGGATGGAGGTATGGATGGAGGCAGGCGGCGGCGGGCGCGGTTTTCCCGGTAACTACACTTGCGGACCCGACTCAGTTACCGGCAGCCCCCCAGCGGCCGCGCCGCGCCTTCCCCGGGGCGCGCCCGGCGCGTTCTCGCCCGGCTCAGCCGGCCCGGCGCGGTCCCGGTGCGGTCCCCGAGAGCGGCCCCCGAGAGCGGCCCCGCCGCAGCCTTGCCTGCGGGGACTGCGGGAGCCGCCGAGGGGCGGGCAGCCCGCGGAGCGGCCCCAGCAGCGAGCTCGGGCAGGAGGACGGTGTTCCCCGCCCGTTCTGCCCCTGGCCGTGCTGCGGGGCTCGGGGCCGCGGGGCGCAGACGTGCGGCGCCGCCCGGCATCTCTCTGCCCGTGGCCCCGCAGGTCGGTGAAGGAAGCTCATCCCTGAGGATGATTGCTGAGGCCTTTTCCACGTCCTCCCCGCTAATATGGCAGTGAGGAGGGACTCTGCAGATGGAGAAGGTGTGGTTAGGTCAACTCCCTTCACAGCCCAAATTCTTCCTCAGCTGATGGCACAAGCAACAGGCAGTGTCCTCCTTGCCCACTTCCCCTCCACCACAGTCTCCCCTCAGTCTGCTCATTCCACCTCCACTCTCTGAAATGCTCAGGATTTCTCCCTGGTCCTTTGTGCATTCTTCACCCCTAAAAGGCTCTCTGATCTCGTCAGCATCCTTCCACTCATCTCTAGTTAATGGCAAATTGAATTTCATTGATCCCAAATGAGCTATTTTGATCTTATCCTTGGGCCTGGAAAATTCAGGTTTTGTCAGCATTGCTGAGAAGTCACTCAAGACAGCTGAACAGCCCTCATTAATAGCAGTACCAGGGAATATGTAAGTTCATTCATTCCCATGCACAACTTACAGTCAGCCTAAGGAAGGAAAAAAAAAATAAAGAAAAGGACTTCAGGCATATCATATTTTGCCTGACCCTCTGAAACAATAAGCAGGAAGTCTACTCATACGAACTAAAATTTATATAGGAAGGAAATTTATGCAGGCAGGGGAAAAAAAAGCACTGTCTGAATATATGCAGCTGTTGTATCTTTTCCCTTTATGGTATCGAAGATGTATGTATGATGATGTGTGTATGTGTGATGTATGTATGTATGTATGTATGATGAACATGACACTGCTGAAGTGTAGGAAATCATAGTCTTCTCCTCTCTGGGTGCCCGAGGCCAGTCTGCTCTGGTGCTATGATGCTTATCACTGGGTACAACACATTAGATCTCTGCTGAGGATGAAGTTTTTCCTGAAGTAAAATTCCTTTTTCACTCCTCCTTCCACCTCCCCCATGTATTTCCAAACCTATCAGTTTTCATCTAGTCTTTTTGAATGACTCACTAAAGATACTTTTCTCAACGTATCTACACTCTTGAAACCCAAGTTATAAAAATACCAGGGAACCGTAGGTCTGGCAGAGCTTCATGTTAATCGGAGGTGTTTCACCATCTCTAAAAAGCAGATTTATATTGACTTGGAAGGCTAAATGCAAGTATAGGGGAAACAAAAGCAAATTGCAATGGGAAGAGTGGTATATTAAGACCCAAATCCTGTTTCAGATAAATGTTTTTCGCTGCCCAGCCAACTGTTTTATCTGCAGTCTCCTGTGGACAGATCGATCAGGACAGCTGTCCTTAGGAGTTTCACCAAACTCCACCAAACAGCATTTGCATCTCATCCTGGCCTGAGAAGATGTATTACCGACACAGCTGTGAGGAATCCCTTTTCCTCTGTTCAGAGAGAGTTTGGTTTCATCTTAATCCCTTTCTCTCTCTCACCCACCCACCCCACCCAATCTAAATCTGTTCCTCAGTGAAGCTGCTTTTTGCACTGTGAGTGATCTCTGCTGAAATGAAGATTTCAGGTAAGTCACATTGATTCTTCTTAATTCCCCCTGCATGATGCTTAAGCTTGTCTATCACTTTATCTCAAGCTTAAAGTCACACCTCAGGTCCTAGCAAGTGCACATTTGGCTTTCCTTTCATTAAGCTACAATATCATTTACATCTGCTCTGACTCTTGCCTCAGGGTATGATTCTGCAGGCAGGTGGGCAAGTCCTACCACTTACTCTGCCTGCAAAACTTCTTTTCAGTTCTTGATGGATTTGTCTTCTGATGCTTTAGTGAGCTGATAGTTTACATAGGGATCTGGCAAGCACCCATGCTGCTGCAAAGTAAGTGTCAGACATGCATAGTAGAAAAAAAGAACTGGAGAGAAGGAGGATTATACCCAAGTGTCCATTCATTCACTACACAGAACTATTGGCCTGTCTTGTGGCTGCCTCACATGTCCCGATGCCACAAGCTCCCTCCTTTTTTTAATTTGGAATCAATATCACTTAGCTGCTGGAAGCAATACCTATCTTGGCACCTACAGCCATGTTTTGTCTACCATTTTTAATATAGTCAATTTAATGAAAGGATAGACTCTTCACAATCCTTTGGTTCTTAGTCACACCTTTATTTATTATGGACCATGTTTACATGAATCTCCATATTTAAAGCAAATTTCATTCTAATTAGATTTTGCTAGACTATCATCCCTCAGCTTTCACCCAGTTGCTTGGCTCTTCTGTACAGTAGGTTCTATGCAATAGGGAGCTCATCATCTGTGAATAGTTTCTAGGTTTTAACAAGCAAATAACTAACTTTCTAAAATCAGTTAAAATATGTTTATCATACAGTAGCATAAGAAAAGTATCTATTTTACATTCTGAATCAGTACATGGTTTCATGAGAATTATCACCTAGGAGGGAAGTGACAGGACTGTATCTCTGAACAAGGGACTGAAACAGAACATAAGTCTAACTGTCCCCCACAGTTTCTGTCCTTGCTTTTCCTGAGCAACAGTATTCCCACTGGTGCTGCAAGGAACTGGAGGTAATGACAGAAAATAAATGGTTTTGTTTTCTTTGAGATACACTTTGACAGGCGCTAAGTATTTTCGCTAAGCATTGTGGGTACTTTCCTAAACAATGAGGCTATAATTTCATGTAGGAAATTGTGTACAAAATACCTTTGATAAGTGCTGATTTAAATGCCGGTCTGAAAGATCTTTGAAAATAAACATTTTCATACAGGGTTGGGAGAGAGAGATATTTAAGTGTCTAGAGAGACACTTGATCCTTAACATAGCTGGGTATCTCAAAGGAAGGAGCAGTAGAAAACAGCCACTTGCAACCTCCTAAATTGTTTGTATGATGGATGAAATAATGTGCCTCTCTGTTTATTGTAGAGCTGTAGACCTCCCTTTCCACAGCCCCTGTTGTGAGAGGCGTGCTGGGCAAAAGAGAAGGAAGGTTTGACCTCTTGTGGGGCTGTGGGTCACTGCCATTAGGAACTTCTGTTTGCAGAGCAGAGCTTCAGTGCTGCCCAAACTAGGTCAAGGATGCTGGTGGAGCAAGTGCAACATAAAGCTCCCTTGACCTTTTTCTTCCTCCATTCCTGCACCTTTGTCCTGAATGCAAGAGAGAAATTGAGATGCCATAATCAACTCAATAAGCATGTGCTCCTAGGCAAGGGCCACCTATTTCTGGAGTTGTATGCCGAGGTGAGTTGGGAACAGACAAGCATCCATGCCTCCAATGGTCTCTTCCCACCCCCCAGCATTCAGACCGAGTGGTCACTGTAAGTCTGAGCAGGAATGAGTGGGGAGGAAAACGTAATTCCAGCAAAGCTAAAAATAGTAACCTTGTGCCTGGTAGAGGGGCTGGTAACAACAGAGAGTAAAGCAGTTTTAGATTAAGTATAGTTTTTAACAACTTCTTCTAAACCCACTCTGAGGCCTCTGTCATAAACCTGGAGACTGGCTTATGCTGTAAATTGTTAACTTCTTGTTTGTGTTTTAAGAGACAGCTGTTCAGCAGTGTTTATCTTTTCTATAAGCCATTGATGAATACATTAAACCTATTTTACCAAGTGTTCCCTATATCTCTATATAAATATAAAGATCTTATAAATTATAAATACCAGAACAGCATCTTCCTAAGAAACACTGCTTATAAAATACAGAGCTATTGTCACTGTCATACCTGCTGAGTAAATTTATTCTTTTCATCAATTAATTATCAGGGATGCAGATTATATCACAGTAGGTAATGTGCCCCTGTCATCTCCCTTAGCTACCACTTAAACGAGTTAAAATGAAAAAAATACCAATATAAATCTTGCCAACTAATGCTCCACTTCCAAATAAACATCACCAACCATGAAATATGTCTTCCTTCTGTCTACTCCTGTCCCCAGAGGTGTCATGGGGAACCATGTCTATCTTCCCATGAAAAGGCTCTGACAAATGAATGTTCGCTGCCTTCTGCTTCTCTGATGCTTTTTAAAATCCTTATGTAATATTGTGTGACCAACTACTATCCCAGAAAGACATGGAGAAACTTCCTACATGCTTCTTGCAAGATGTGTCTTCAGCTGTGGAAAATATACAGAGGCCTATGAAGTTCATGAGTAGGAGATGTTTACAAAAATAGTATCTATATCAGATCTATAGAGGCAGAAGTCATCCTCTGGGGACTGTAGCTCTGATATGCTTCTCTTCTGGCCTCCTTCCACTGGCAGTTTGGATTCCCCAGCAAAAGCTACTTCTGGCAGAGATCTCAGTAATTGCTTCATAGAAGTAATGGATAGATGCCATAAGAGTTAATTCTACATCAAACTGTATTAGCTACTGATAGGATTTTCATGTGGACCAAAAAGGAAATGAGATAGCAAAATGACTCATATAGTTGTTCTTGTTCAGAGCTCCTTTGGTGCAGGAGACAAACAGAAAGGCTTTTTATGAGGTTTAAAGAGTGAAAAAAGCAGTGTCAATGTAGTTCAGATCCTGAAAGTGGTGCAACTTATCTGACATAAGTGAAAGGCTGGGTCCTTTCAAGCTGGGAAAATATTTGAGGCTGTGTGAGTCAACTGAAGATTAGAAGGGACAACAGATGGAGAGAGGTAGGATATGTTTGCGTTGCATATTGTGATATAAGCTCATGCTTACCTACACTCACATCTGAGCAAACGCGATCTTTTTCTGCCTGCACCCACAGCTCATAAAAAACTTCTAGGAGAGCGTATTAGTTCAGTGCTGAGATAGAACTAATCAATACAAATAATCAATACCTCAATAGTGTATTTATCAAAAAATCCTCCTGGGTATTTTGTCCCATATTGCTGAAGAGAGGTAATAGTGAGTGCCAAATCATTATTTTCCTCTCTCCCTGCGTGGTGAGTTCTTGAACTGGCCTGTGCTGCCGAAGCAGAAACAGGTGCTTTGTATATCCTGGCATGATCTATTGGAAACTGAACGTTGACGGAGCATCCCAAATTAAGGACAGTCTTACTCAGAGGAATTCAATACTTTGATGTTAGCCAGATACCTTAAAAACACACTCATTTCAATGCAAGTTGAGATTCTTAAAAAATGTATTTCTGAAACAAATTTTAAGAATTTCGGCAGTGGAGAGGTATGTCATCCCCAAACATAAAGCACAGGCAAACAGTGGGCTAGCTGTTTGCTAGCCTAGCCCTAGACAGGACTCACATGTGTACTTTGCTGCAAGATCCCTGTTATTTGACCTCACTTAATTTGGTGGTATTTTATTAAAATGTAATCAACTTTCTGTATAACACATGGGTTTGACATATTGGTACACAGATAAATGTGCAATACTCAGTGTTCGCCATTCTTTTCTCATCCTGATACTTGCCTTTCTTAGGAATTTGTAGCTTCAGAGTTTTTCAGAACATTGCTGTTTTGTAGGTTTTTAGCAAGTGTAATATTCACTCAGAATCTTCATCCATGTTTTGATTTTTATCCAGAGTCATGCAGAAGTGTCATGCTCTGTTTTGTATATATTAAGATCTCATTTTCATACAGTTCCCATTTCATGACTTTACAGAAAACATAGAAAAGGAATTTACCATCTGGGACTGTGGTGGTGCAGCTTGCTCTGTTAGCATTTCACTGATGCCTTTGTAGCACACTGACCTACTGCATGTGATCATGCATCATCTTCCATTTGAGCATGGAGAACCATTGCTCTCTGGAACTGCAGCTCCGCATCAAAGAATTAGCAAGTCTGCTTCATCTGTCACAAACTTCACCCACTCAGCAACACCATTCTGGCAAGTGTCTTTCATAAATCTATTCTGCATCCTCATATGTCCTTACCTTGTGTCTAAACCAGCTAAATGCCTGCTACACACAGAATAAGACTGAAGGTATTCTGGGCCGTGCTCTCAAATTCCAGTTTTTTCCACCATGGCCTGGGGCTTTTCCAGCAGCAAGTGAAGTGGGAAGATAAGTGATTTCAGATAAGGCACTCCTTCCCACTCCCTCCCTGCCAGGAAGGGCTCAGCAGATGCTAACAAATGAGGAGGAAAAAAGAAAGGAAATTCCAGGAGTGTAAAAAAAAGGGAATTTGTTGAACCTCTGGCAGTCACATTGAGAATGTCAAGGTTCCTCACCATCAGGTAGGTAGTGCCAAGAGGGAAGGTCAGAGGAGGTGGCTTTGGAGGGTCAAAAAGGCTACTTGATATGCATTAGAGAAACAGACACCACCCATGACATAAATGGGAGGTGTATATTAGAATGCAGACATCTTTGATGCGGTCTGAGTCTTATTTTGCCTTTTTTTAAACATTTACTTAATTCTCTACGGAATGTCTCATTTCCCAACAGTGAAATATACAGCAGCTACTTCTGCTAAATGTCAGTTGAATCTATGCTAGTGGTGTTGCTCAAACTGCATTTTTAAAAATAATCTGCAAGCAGTTAATGTGCTTTTTAAATTCTCAGTGTTATGTAAAAAGGCACAATATTTTTAGCCTTACAAAATATCAGTTGTCATCTCCTCACTTTCTCC